CACTGCACAGAACAGACGCCGAGAGAGGTGACACTTCTCTGGGAGAGTCAGACCTCGCGTTCGCGGGACACCGTGAAAGGGAGCGTCTCAGGTTACTTATGTAAGCATGGTTCCCTGAGTAGGGAACGAGACACTGCGTCCTCTAGGTTTCTTGCCATGCTGCGGACGCAAGCTTCAGACGAAGAAGTGGATGATGTGTTCTCCCGGCGCCTATTTATACTATAGTCGCACCGGTAGTGACGTCATGGCTGTCGCCGGCCAACAAGTTGGTGTTTTTTCAATGTATGCTTCAGACACGGGTCACGACGAGGCGTTCCCCATAGCGACCCCTAGAGGACGCAGTGTCTCGTTCCCTACTCAGGGAACCATGGTTACATAAGTAACCTGAGACGTTTTCTCCCTCCGAGTTGATAAAACTGTTAGGCCTTTCAACAACAATGCATTGTTGCAAAAAACAACAGGTACTTGAAGTTAACTGCAACTAAAGACCAGAAGCACAATTAACTTTTCTAAAGATTTACAAAATTGGATTGGCAGGTTATACTGTATTTAATTTGAAACTATTTTCTGATGCTATGTTGCCTAGTATTTGTTTAACCGTATGGTTATCAGTAGTTCACACTCTCACAGTATTAATCACATAGACCAAAAAGTGATTTTGTACAAATTCATACAAACGTCACTGTTAGCATTATAGAGAAAGTTTGAAACTAATGTTTTACAATTACAAATTTATCAATCACCAAAGGACTTTTGTACAAAATCTGCCTAAGCTTCTGGCAATTGGTGGCACTTCTTTTACCTTTACAATGATATTGACTTCAGAATCCATTTCTTTGGAGAACTTACCTGACAGAAGCAAACCAACCCTTACAAAATGAAACATTTGGCACAGTTCTAGACCACAAAACATTTACCTGTATGTCTACACAGAGCAAATGTGTTTTGACACCCTGGCAAACAGACTCACCGAATCACCTGATCTGTCCATTACCTGCTCATCATATATCTAAAACCCTTTTGGTTCCTTCATAGTACATCATTTTGTTTTGTCTCCCCCTAGAGGTCAATAGTCTCACTGCAGATGCTCAGAGCATCAATCTGTCTGCACACACTGACAAATTCTTCTTGGACAGATTGGTCAAACTCTGACTGCTGGTCCATACTCTCCTCTGACTTTAATGTTCTGTAGGGTCTCTGTAAGCTTCCCCTTTGGTGGCCAGAGCTGGCAGTGTGGCTGGAACCCCCACTGAGGGTAGAGGGTGGTGGATGGTGTCCTTCCGGACTAGAGCACAAAACCAAAGAAGAGCCACCCAGAGACTGTCTGTAGAGGGAACAGGAGCAGGAGCTGCCTCTCCAGCGCTCGGGAGATGAGCAGCAAGTTGAAGATGACAGTGAGGGAGATGGGGATGGAGAAAAACCTAATGACGGACCATCTGGTTGGGTTTGAGAAGCAAGGGGAACTTGGGGTAGCACTTCCACACATGAAGATGTTCGGTATAGGCCTGGATCAGGAGTAAGGGTGTCTCTCAAGGTTTGGACACCGCTGGAGTTGGTCTCTCTACCATTCAGGGAGCAGTCACTAGAGGTGAAGGGTCGTAAGGGGCTGAAGACACTCATGTGAAATAGAGATTCACTAAACAGTGCTTCATCAATGCTTCGACGCAGATTTATGGGCGAAGGAGGGCGCAGGTCCGCTGTGGAGTCGCTGGTACAGGATGAACCCACAGAAGGGGCACCAGTGTTGGGTTGAGTGTTGGGCAAGTCCAGGTCAAGGTCACGATAGGCCAAAGCCCGGTTGCTGTGGTATAAAAGGTCAAGGCCATTCAAGCTGCTGAGACGGTCATCCACCAATGTGTACAAGGGTAGGCACTCTGTCTCTCCATGCCCAATTGGATCACAAATGGCCAGCTTCTCCTGGTGAGACAGAGTCCACTGGTAGCTCCCAGGAATGATAGGTGACTTTGCTGCAAGGAGTTCTGTCCAGCAACTTCCTGGCTGGGGAAGGTGATCAGAACAATAAACTGGCTGAGCAACTACCAGGACCAGTGTGAGGCAGATCACTGCTTCACAAACTCGGCAGCTGAACTGGAAAGTCCACCACGGCCAAGGCCGAAAGGACTCAGCGCTTCCAGCAATTCCGAGAGCGTGCAGCATGGCGTAGAGTTGCAGCCCTGAACAAGCCAGAGAAAAGACAGCACAGAGTAACACTGCGGCTGCTGCCCGGTCCCAATCTCTGCTCTCTGCAAATGGACAACGGTTGTAGCGTTCGGCTGGTGTTGGTGATGTGTTGTTCAGATGATAAATATGCTTGGAGTCAGCACGAACATAGCAGTAGAATACAAAATATGCAGCTGATAGGAAAGTCGCCAGAGCCACAAAGGCACCTCTAGAGATCAAGGACAGAAACAGGTAAACTTGCTGGTCAACATGGAGTAATGCAACAGGGCCAAAGGCAGCAGCAAAGTGCAGAAGCACCAAGCAAGCCAGGAAACAAGGTCTCTGAAAGGCGGAATAGGACAGCTGCATACGAGAGCGCATTGACAGGAGCAGGAATACTAGGCCAAAGGCCGCAGTCATGCAGGGAAATGGTGCCTCGTAAAGTAACAGTAAAGCCTCTGTGGATGCCATGCGGTCCTGGTATCCGTATGCATCGTACACTAGGGCGAAGGCCCTAGTGCAGCCAGCGGCCACCAGGCAGAGACTAACCAGAGCGAAGTAGCCACAGCCTGATGGGTACTGTAGGGGCAGGCACAGGAGGTTCAGGGTGGAGGCCAAAGCGACTAGACAGAACACAGTGCCCAGGCCGTAGATGTGTGCTTCCCACGCTGAACCCCATGTCGCCAGGGCACTGTTCCAATCAGAATATAGTGCCACAAACATAGGTGGGGCTGTAAATGGGTTGGGACTTTGAGAGAGGTTGGTGGAGAAGGTGGTTGTGCTGTAATTTTTGCTGCTGTTGCTCAGGACAGTGGTGGTGGGCCAAGTGTCACTAGAACTGCAGATTCCAGAACGTTCTGCATTGCAGTCAGGGAGTGCATATTCTTGGGTAAGATCCATCAGCCAGTCTTCAGATGTGGCGGTGGCCATTTCTAAAAGGAAGAACAAACACATTGCATTATTAGTACAGCAGACATGTGTAAAGATGTACTACAGATACTGATTCTCAGGAGACTACTCATGTTTTAATTATTCAATGAGTCCCATTTAAATATAAAAGTTGAATGGAAAGCTAGTTACAAAAAAAGAAGCACACAGAAATAAATCAGTAAAAAAAATTTTTTTTAACTTATTATTAAAAGGTAATTGGTACTGGTACTTTTACTGGTACAGGTACTGGTAATTTTCTTCCAGAACATTTTCAGTTAAGTTTACGGACATTTCCTATAACCCTAAAACACAACATAATGCAGTGGCTAATTTAAAATATGGATAAAACACCTGTGAAAACTCAATATGGAAAATTCCTTATTAGCACAGTACATTGAACCCTATTTTTGAGGACTTTTCTTGGAGTGTATACAAAATGAATATTCCAGAACAGACAACCTAGGCAGTCATTACTGTCACCAACTTCTGGCAACCTATTATTTGTTTTTCTGTGATAGACATCAGCACTAGATGCATTTTTGAGGTGTCTGCCCAGCTGAGCATGTTTCACAGTGGAAAACCAATGGTTTAGATGTAGAGATTCCTAAATTTGGGAAATGTCTAGTGTTTTAAACCTACTAAAAGTAAAAAGCTCTCAATATGATATTTCTAACAGGGGGAGAAAACGTTGGGGAACATATTTGCCCAAGTAGCAGGGATTGGTGGGCTGCCATGAAAGGCGGATATACGACATCTGTTGTTTGTATATAAATGTAATTGTGATTGTATTGTTTGATTCGCAGATTGCTCTGGGAGGAGGCTGCTGTTTTATATTTTGGATTCTGTGGCTTGGCTCTGGTGCTGAGGAGTGTTACATACATTAGAGTTTCTTAGCCTAACAGAGTTGGAACAGCATGTGAAGTTCCATGTGACAGCCTTTCCAAATCTGGAAATGCTTCCTAACGCTTACCAAACATTTTATTTGGAAGTGATGTATAAGCAATCCAAAAGCAAGTCCTCAGATGAACTAACATCACCGTAGAGCATGTACATGTTATGAAAACCCACACAGGTTTGTTTGTGGCATCTAATGTGCCACTGTAAAATGTGATAAGACATTCAAAATATGTAAATCCCCCTGCACTAGAAGGATTGCCCTGCTGTGCATTTGCAACTGATGTGCAAATCCATATGAGATGGATGATATTAGCTTCCACAGCCATATCAGTCCTGTGCATAACAGCGTGGAGATGTACGTCAGCTCTTCAGAGACTGACATATCTAATTACACCCTTTACAGAGCAGATCAAAGTCATAACTCATCTTAGCTGCCACGATCAGGCTTTCTAAAAATGCCGGTGAGTTTACTGAAGCCTTGAGACAGAAACCATGAAGCATTATGGGCCAACAAAGACTAACAAAGCCTAGATGATGCCGTAACTATGTGTTAATGTAGACATTTATCAAAACAAATCAGCAAAATTCCAGTCCCCATCTCTGTTTCCAATTTCTCTGTTATATTCACAAATATGAACTGATGAAAACAAAATATGCAAATAAAAGCTTAAATGGCCATTCCTTTTACATTTCTGAATGCATATTGCAATGTATATGCATGAATGCCTGTATATTTATATGAAATTATATATTTATATATTAAAATGGATTAGATTAAATGTTAAAAATGGCTCTCTCATCTCACAATGTTCAAAATCCTACAAAAAAAAATCCATTTCATAGAGTAACCCTCACTGGGTAACTGAGTGAAGCAATTACAAGTCACAAGTCAAAAGGCAGGCATATTTTTCTCACTGTTTAAGTGTGATGTCAACCCACCTCCACATTGTGCATGGTGAATACATCATGTCTGAATGTTGTTGAGTGCTGGTAAGACCCTGCCTCATTTTAGGTTGCTTCTGTATGCTTTTATGTTGGTAGTGACAGACAAATTCCTGTTACACCCAGAGCCAAATTAACTACTTTGTTTATGACCTTCCTCCTTTTAAAAAAGCAGAGGCCTACGCAGAATCATGGGTCACTCCCAAAGGTGGGTCTGGTATTTTTTGCACTGGTTTTGGCTTTTTTGGCTGATGACCACCACTATAGTTAAATATACTCATCGTATCCAGTCAGTGGTGAGCACTGGCTTCCATTTTAATGTTAATGTGTGTTTTTTTGATGGTGGGAGTAGATAATCAAACCTAGTTGCACTTGATTAATGGCAGCGTGTGTGTGACAGCCACACACTGCTCATTAGATGCTTCTCTTTAATCAACACTACCACAACACTAACCACCAAGCAGTGCTCATTAGATCTATATCTTGACATCAAGATGGCTGTTTATCCACTTACATTAAATATAGGTTACAGCTGACTCCTGTTTGCAGCAAACTTTGACTCATTGGAATACACTGACCTGATTTCTTTTCAATAAAACTGTCTGAATGGATGTTCAGCTCTTATTTTCTTTACTCCTTTATGTTGTTCATTCATGAAAAATATCCATTTGTTGTTCATTCATAAAAATATCCATTCTTAATGTGCTTTATTCAAGAAGAATGGGCAGAATGAATTTCTGTGTACAGTAAATCCTACAGAAGCATTCATATGTAAATTGCTGAATTGATTTCAATGCGACGTACATACAAAAAGGATTTGGAAATGATTTATACAGAAATTTGTTCTGGATGTGCTTTGATGAATAAAATGAAAGACCCAATGAGTTTAACATATTGCTTTTGCTGTATTCTTAAAGATTAATTAAACAGCTTTAATTCAGTCTCCTGTTTTGCTATTTGTGTTTCCCTGTCTTCATATATAAATGTGCTAATCTTAAAATGTTTTTGTGTCATTCTTTCTGCGTCAATTGTAAAAATAATAATAATAATAATAAGTTTTACACTAAAGTTTGACAGAAAGGAGGCATTATATTGACCAAAAGTGACAGTAAAGACTATTTTAAATAAACTTTTCTTTCAATTTCACTAGGCAACTTGTGTTTAAAAACTTAAAAATAAGATTCCTGATTTAGGAAATAGGAGATATTTTTACTGACTGGCTAAATGGATATTTTTGTGCTTGTTGAGTTAAGAATTTCTCATATTTATACCACACAAAACTGCTTCAGAAGTATTAAAGACCAAACAAGACCAATTAAAGACTGCAAGTAAAGACTGAAAAAGAACAATTAAGCAAAAAATAAAATTAAAATTCTGTTACAAATGCCCTGTTTAAAATATCAGCATACCAGCTAGAAGAAACCAGTTTATACCAGCATGGAAATTAATGCTGGACTCAGCAGGGTAGTCTCTTGCTTTCTAGATGCTCTTGCTATCAAATGCCAATCCAAGTCAAATGAGCTCAAGATGGCATGAAAAACAGCTTTAGCAAGTGTCCAGCTGTCTTGATGAGAATAATTAGTGTTTGATTAACTAAAGGCTGTGAGAAGTGTGTCACTCTGACATGAGGAGAAAGTGTATGGTAGGCAGACACAGGAATAGTGTGGTGAGAAGGCCGGGCACTGATAAGAGGGATTGTTGTGGCAGGCGCCTGCTAGTGCCCTCCACCCTCAGGGGTGTGGAAAATATGACTAGTTTCTGGATGTGAGCCAGAGTTTCAGTCTAGGAATCAATCAAATCTCAATGACCCTGATCCCTGCACACACTGGATGATACTCTATTTGTGGAACTGTGTGCACATCTATCAAAACAAAATACCTCTAGAGAACACAGACATGTAAACATAGCAGGAATTAAAGTCAGGTTAACATCATCATCCCATGGGGTTTCCATAATGTTGTTGTTATGGCCATGCATTGTAATAGTACTGGATGGGAGTTCAGGAAGAGGGGACAGGAAGCAGACCAAAGGCAAACAACTCCACTGATCCACATGGGGTTAATGGGGTTTCAAATGATAGGTAGGGTCAATTGTTGATGGTGCCACCCCGGGTGAGTCTATACAGACATCTAACATTTTGGGTTAAACGTTTTTGCCCACAAAATCTGTTCAGACATGTCACTCAATTAAATAGCTTTAATTTCATGGTTACATTTTATTTTAAGTTCCAATTCTCGCTATTAACAAGCCATTAACTACGACTTTTGCCCCAATAAACTCCTAATCTGCTGCTTATTAATAGTTAGTAAGGTGGTTGTTAAATTGGGCAGGATTAAGGATGTAGAATATGGTCATGCTGAATATGTGTTTTATATGTACAAATAAACAGCCAATATGTCAATAGGCATGCTAAAACACAACTAATTAATAGTGAGAAATGGTCCCTATACTTAAGTGTTACCCATTTCACTAACCACTGGCTTGACCTGTAGTTTATCAGTTAGCATGTTTTTGTGAAGATAGGGATCACAGTGAGAGCAAATTTCGATTCAGTTACTTAGTGAAGAGCCATCTTGCCCAATAGAGTTACAAACAAACAGAAACTAATCTAGATGCATAACTGCTTGTTTATCTGCAATTACACATCTAGATTAATTAGTTTGTTTCATTTTAGTATTTTTATGTGCTATTATAGTATTTATTAATTTTGAATTAGCTTTCATTTTTATGCTTTACTTTCGGTTTTATTTCAGTTTTAGTTATTTTAGTACTTAAACTTATTTTAGTTTTTCATCTAACATTATATATATATATGCATATATATATATATATATATATATATATATATATATTCAGCTTTATTTCAATTAACAAAAATGACATTTTTGAAAAATGAAGAAAAGAATAATCGGTAAATACTAATGCAAGACTATGGGTGTTTGGGAAAATGGTTGTCAAACTAGTTTGAGACCATGGGTGCTTGTCAAATGGAAGGACGCACCCTATATAGCGTTATGTGAAATATCTGCTTTTTAGCATTATATGATTTACAACAAAACAAAAGAACACATAATGCCTTCACCTCAAAAATCATCTCAAAAAAGCTTTATGTCATGGCTGCCGAGATATGCCGCCTTACAAAGTTGCATCCATCGAATTGAGAAGCACCCCATGTTTATACCTCGTTTGTAATAAACTATCAATTCAAACAGTTCAGTCTAATAAATGTGGGTGCTATACATTTTTATGCTCAAGTTGAACTGATTTCTGAAAGGTGCCCTGCTTTGTGTTTGACAAGTTGTTCATTATCTTAGCAACACGTTAACACCAAATTCTATTGGGATTAATTGTGAGTAGTATCTCCGATGTGGAACAATTTTTGTTTTATTGGTCACACTTTATTTTAAGGTCCAATTCTTGCTATTAACAAGCCATTAACTATGACTTTTGCCTCAGTAAACTCCTAATTTGCTGCTTATTAATAATAAGGTAGTTGTTAAGTTTAGGTATTGGGTAGGATTAGGGATGTAGAATATGGTCATGCAGAATAAATGTTTTGTAAGTACTAATAAACAGCCAATATGTTAATAAATAAGCAACTAGTTAATAGTGAGAATTGGTCCCTATACTAAAGTGTTACCTTTTTTTGTATGTAATTAGCATATACACCAATGCGTCAGCTGTTCGAATCACCCAAGACGGAGGTGTAAAGAGGATCTGAGAGTTTTCCAGGTTGTCAGAATGTGAACCAGCAACAAGTATTTTAGGATTATAAATTCAGACATGACTCGCTGATCCGATAATAACAACACCCTCTGCTTAATTATGGAATACAGTGCTGTGATGTCATTACAAGTACTTCATCTATCCTGCCTCACTTTCAATTTCTGCTCTCTCTAATAATAGATGAGTGGACAGCAGGGTAGGATGATCCCATTCATATTGATGAGGCCTGGGTATGCTGACTTAAAGAAGAGGGCAGTGAAGGAGAAATGACAGGAAGGAGACAGGAAGACCTTCTGATCCACTTCCTTCTCACAGGACATTCAATTTTCGGGTGAGGTGAATGTGTGTGCTAGATTTCGAAACCTTTTGCATCCTTAATTTGAGATACGGCAGCTGCAGTTTTGTGGGTCGGATCTCTGCATGCAGTTTACTTTACGAGACAGCCCATAAACACACAGATATTCTCGCAACCTGGTTCTTGGATCGTTGTGGCATATTTTGTCCATCTATTAATGGAATTTAGGTTATCCCATTGAATGCAGCGGGAAGAAAGTAGGTTAGGTGCCACAGAAGAGAAGCTGGGTCGAAGATGCACCTCATGATCAACAAGGAAGGTGACATAAAATGGCACACTTAACGCCATATGTTGATAGATCTGATCTACTGAGACACGTTGCATAACTCAACTCTCTTGGGCAGTTTAGTGGTCGGCTTGTTTGTAGGAGGTGCCAACTATGAGATAAAAGTGCTCGTTTCTCCTCCCTCTGGAAGCAATTACTGGCAGGTAACAGACGTTTGGTCGTGGTGCACTCGGCCATACCATACCAACAGATATCTTCCTCTAAATCATGTGGAGGAGGAGGAAGAGTTAGACTTGAATTTTTCAGAGAAGGAAATATGACAAGTTGGCTCACTTGTTACTGTGTTTGGGAAACATATTACATCCTTCCAGCTGATGTGTGCATTATTTCATGTTAAAATACTTTCTCCTAACCCAGTATAATGTGCAGAAACAAGTAAGCCATTTCAAGGTTGATTCCTTTAGAAAATGTATCAAAACTTTTATCTTTTTGTTTGGACATCCCAACCAATCAGACGCAGATACACAGGCTCAATAATGTTTGTTTTGAGGCAGGACTATCTGTTTGTTCAACCAACGGAGAGCTGGTATGACATTCTTAAAGGGATATTTTACACAAAATCTACCTATCCTCATATCATAAAAAATTTCGCAGAATGCACTAATTGTCCTTTTCCATATACAATTATAATGAATATTAGAGCTTTGAATCTCCAAAAATGGTCCATAAACATATCATAAATGTGGTCCATATGCACTATATACCAAACTCTTCTGAAGTCATATGCTGGTTTTGTGTGAGAAAGACCAAAATATAAAAGTCTTTATTCACTGAAAATCCTAACATCCATCCTAGCAGTGCCTGGAGTATTTATGGCAGTTCACGAGTGAAGTAGTGTCAAATGTGTGAACAAATTGTTCTTTTGAATCAGATCTTTTGGGTTAATTGGCTGATCCTGTGAAGTCACAAATTAAAAGATTCACAAATTACATTGGTCTGGTTCTTGAGACTCAATGGGCCTGCTCCAATACCCACACATGCGGTCTTTGTACTTGAGCACTTGTCTACTTTCCTGTATTTGGCAGGCTCAAGTGTTCAAGTGGGCATTTACTTTTGTGATAAAGTACATGTTTGGAATGACATGAAGTTGGGTAAACTATGACAATTTTTCATTTTGTGTGAACTATTCCTGTAACAAATTAGTCTGGGCGGCTTGAATGTAGTGCTATTTACTCAGGTCAAAAGTTTCTCAATTATACTTGTATTTTGAAAACTGGTTCACGTCCCAAGATGAAAATCGGAGTATAATTATCACAGGTGTAGATTACATAAAGGCGTGTATTGCATCAGACTGTTTTAATTACCTGTGTTCCTGAGAGTCGTCACGCTAGCTGATGTTGTCAGTTCATCGTGTCGCTCTTGTGTTGTCATATCAGCACTCTTCCCCGTTTCCTTATCTCCTTCCTCCCATGGAAAGCCTGCTGCGAAAACAGAGCACACAAGTCTGAGAATGTGGTGCTGAACGAAAGTTATGACTGAAAGAATGGAGAAACAGGAACATTTTCTAACCTAGTTATGTCAAACAGATTTCTGCAGTATTCCGGGCCAGGCTTCAGTGGCACTGGAGTTGGCATCTGATAGTTTAATTACAATAACTTGACTTTCATGTCTACAGCGACTGAGCTTCATTACGGATCAGAAACGAAAACCTTATCTTTGTGACGAAGCAGGATTATCAGACTAATCCGAAGCAAAACTTTCCTATGAGAAAAAGCTACAAACAGACACTAGGTTGTGTGTGGCTGTGTAAAACTCACACATACCTTAACTAGGACTGAAAAGAGACCTGACACAATGAGGCCAGAGTGTTTAATATCTGGTCACTGGTCAATGATTCCCACAGATCCAACTCAAAGCTTGTCCTATTAAGCACCACACATCAAACTTCCGTGTTTGTTACATTCTTTATGAATAGACTTTACGATGGAATATTTACATTCCCAAATGTGTAACTATGCAGATGTTTGGACATACGTGTGCGTATGGACTCTATGTATGGATGTGTAGCGTCAATGTGCCCAAATAAGTGTGCACACTTGTGTGTACATTAGGCTGAGTGAAAGCTTTCATTGCTTAGACACAAACATGATCTTTAGGATGACTTGAAGACTGTTTGTGTGTCTACATTAATTCCTTGTGGTAACTGCTTAAGACCTGCATGATGTTCTTTTTTGTATATTGTCAGGATTCACGTTTCAAGTCTGATCACAGCAGATCTTCGCTCTGGTGCTGATACGGTCTCTCATTAGTATGAATAATGAGCTCTGCAACAAACCAAGCAAGGAGCCTACAGATGATTTATCTATCATCTGTATATATCCATCCATCTCCATCCATCAACCCACATCTAATCCATCAATATCTTTCCATGAATCTATATATTTATCTATTCCTCTATATCTACTGTATCCATCCATCCAACCAACTTCCCATACTTGTAATGAGAAGTGCTTAAAGGAATAGTTCACCCAAAAATGAAAATTTAGTCATCATTCACCCTCATGTTGCTCCAAACTTGTTTAAGTTTCTTTCTTATGTTGAACACAAAAGAAGATATTTTGAAGAACCAAATGGTTGTTGGTCCCTATTGACTTCCATAATGGGGAAAGAAATACTATGGAAGTCAATGGGGAACATCAACTGTTTGATTACCAGCATTCTTCAAAATATCTTTTATGTTCAACATAAGAAAGAAGCTCATACAGGTTTGGAACGACATGACAATATTTTCATTTTTGGGTGAACTATCCCTTTAACAAAAGAGAACCTTTAAGAGCTCCTTGTGGTTTTTCATCAACACAAAAGAATTTTAGCCAGCCATAAATATTAGTATTATAAGTTTATACAGTAGTTGTTTAGATTTGTTATTTTACAGTGATATATTTTAATAGTATTTTTTACTCTTTTGCTTCTATAACAATAACAACAACAACAACAACAATAATAACAACAATTAGTTATTATTTTTAATTATAGCCATTTTGATATCACACAATTTTGGCCAAATTGTGCAACTCTACAAGCAAACCTGGATTCGCAATCTTAATTTTTAAAAGAAAAATTTTAATTTGATTTTGATTTATATATTTATCTATCCATCTATATATCCATTTATTTCTATGTATCTATGTATTCCTCCAACATTAGCCTTGCACTGAATTACTCTCCACTGTCTCTTGATGGGTGATTTAAAGATTCTGACTATTACACCAGCTGTGGTGTCAAACGTCAAACGTCCCCCATCACTCTCCGTCAGAACCACCCAGATCACCAATCCTCATTAGATGATGAGAAATGTTCTCTCAGAGCTAGTTATTCATCTAAGCAACCCTCTTTACCTTCATCTTCCTGCCTTGTTCTCTTCTACCCTCCTCCTCCTCTCTCCCTGGTCACCATTAATAAAGAGGGAATTAGATCAGAATTTGTAATTTTGACCCCTGCACAGTGTGACATAAATCATTTAATCTCCCTCATGGGGCTGAATGTGTGTGTGTGTTTGTGTGTGAGATTATGAACACAATTCAGTATGTTCAAGTAAAAAAGGCCAGTCTGAATTTCATTTAAAAAGGATTTTTAGGCTAAAAAACATCACTAAATTTCCTTCTGTTTGGATTCAGTGAAGTCTCACATAATCTCCACACAGGCAGTAATGATTTGGTTAGTCTAGATGCTTTGAAAGAGCCTAATCATAGGATTAACCTTCTATGAAATGATAGTGAAGTAAATACTTTAAGTGTATTGTTTGTGAGTGTGTGTATGTTCTAGTGACAGCCTGCACATGCCTCTGTCCTCAGTTTACCCAAAACACACCGTCAACAATGTACTACATAGCACTTTTCAGCAGTGTTGCCATGACAACAATCACATTGTAACCAGACGAGAGCCGTAACCTTGACAACCGTATAGTTATGATCTAGCATATTAACAACCCTAGAGTTCAGTGGTATTTCATCCCAAAGAAAAGAAATATAGAATTTGCAAAGTGATGAAGATTTTGTATTATTTTCATTACAATTAAACCCTTTGTGCGGTCTTCGGTCACTTTTGACCCAAAAATTTTACATTTTGAAATTTTAAAAATCGTAGCTTCATCAGAATGGTACGAAACTTGGTGACTTTTATGGCACTTGGTACGACCATAGGAAAGTGAATGGGAAATGGGAAAAAAATGTGAAAATACAGAAAATTTTTGTGTGCCCAATCTACAAATCCCCCACGATGCAGAAAAAAATTGCACAGCAATGACGGGGTGAAACTCTAAAACATCTAGAGTGCAAAATCAACACACCCACTCACACACAAACACACACCCCTATGAACTGGTGTGCCTGTAACACAGCAACTATGTAAAATAAAATCAATAATTCAACTACAATTTAGTAAAAAAAAGTGGACAGCAAGAAGGGGTTTCACTCTAAAACATCAAGAGTGCAAAACAGACACATCCATTCACACACTCACTCACTCACTCACACACACACACACACACACACACAGGAAACTTGGCATTCCTGTTTATTTTTGTTACATTTTTATAGAATTTTAATGTTTTGTATAACAAAATGCTTTCTGTGTTCAGGTTTGACTGTAGTAATAATAATTCAAAAACTGACGCTTCAAATCAACATTTACAACAACAAAAAATATAAACCTTGGCAAAAAGTAGTCTTTAAGAATGCCTTAATATACATTTAAATCCACAACCTAATAAAAGTAAACAATTATGTATAAAAACAACTAGGGAATTCAAAAGCAAAAAAGAAAAAATGTTATTGATAAAAAATATATTAGATTGATTTTACTGAAGAAAAAAAAAAATTTAAATTTCAGGTGTCCGGTCACTTTTGACCGCAAAGACCATGAGTGTGATTCACAAATAAAGACCGCACAAGGTTAAACATTTTCCAACCTAATTCTCATTGTCGTATGAGAAACTCATTTTTCATAACTATAATTCTATGATTGTCTGGAAAATTTTTATTTTAATTCACATAAGTATAGTTCACTAAATAATTGTACTTTAGGAATGCAAATTTTAGATAAAAAGTTACTTTTTTCCTTTTTACTGTAGTAATAAGAATGAGATTTCTGCACATTATGAGTGGTAAAACAAATATGTATGTAATAGGTTTTATTTTATGGTTTTTTTCCATTTGATTTTAGTGTGATAGTATAATATGATCAGGGTTTCCAAGTCCACAGAAATGCACTACTTGTAAACTGTTGCTGCCATGGGTTAATTTTTTTTCTTGCCGTATAAAGGTTTGCCATATTGGATAAGCTGTATTTCACTGAAACGTGTATAATGAAACAGTTTTACCCATTTTTAATCTATCAATGATAAACCTGTGCTAGATGAAAGATTTTGTATGAGTGGAATACTGGTAGGGAGCCTTTATGAAAAAAGACTTTGTTTATGATATAGTGATTTTTATTTTGTATAACGCATAACAGTGACTATAAATCATGTATTTTAAGAATTGGAGTAGCATATTTTGGGTTTGACTGGGTCATTGGACTAGTTTTAGGCTATTTTTGATTGGCCTTTAGACTAGTTTTGTTTCGCAGATCTGGCAACCCTGCATGTGACCCAGACAGTGTTTGAGAGATTCAGGCTTGTTTCCCTTTCCAGTCTATCACTATTCCAACACTCCTTTCTTTCCTGTTTAATGCTCTCCTCTTTCCCAGTCTCCCCTCCTCCTCTCAGTTCCAGTGCGGTAATTGACCTTGCTCTCAGCTCCAGCATGTTTTTGAGGTGGGGGATAAGCAATTTGTGGCTGCCTGCACCTCCAGAAGACAAGGTGACCCTAACATTAGTCAATAATTTGCTGTTTCACACACCCACACCCACATACCCACAAATGCAGAGGCAGTGTAACATGCTCTTTAGAGTACGAGCCATGTTTCTGTAGTGCATTCTAGAGGTGCAGGGAGCATATTTATGTAAAACCCTTTTTGATGTATCAATTGCTAAATTTACATTGTTTATATAGTGCCATAATACTAAATTGTCTTACATTTTTGGAAATTGGGTTGTAGAATCACTTATGTGATTAATTTGCATGTGTCAAATGTTTACTGATTGGCTTAAGTGGATAGTCCATCTAAAAATTCTTTCTTCTGTGGAATACAAAAAAAATATATTTTGAAGTATGTTGCAAAAAAATACAATGGAAGTCAATGGGGACCAGCAACGATTTGATTACCAGCGTTCTTTAAAATATCTTATTTTATGTTCCACAGTGGAAATAAACTCATACAGGTTTGGAACATGAATGATTACAGAATTTTTCTTTTTGGTTGAACTACACCTATATATATATATATATATATATATATA